AAATTGCAAGCCGATTTGGAAGGATGAATCAAGGATTGAAGATTCTGAGGCAGGAGGTATGTCTACTCTGAATTGGAGATCTGAGAGCGAGAGATTGAGGGAAGAAGAGAAGGACCAAGAAGAAGGAATGACCCCATTAGTAGTGAGAGCAAGGAGAGTTTGAGATTGGGGTGAACATTGGAAGAGAAGAAAGTGATGACTCTGAAAGTGAAGAAGGGAGAGAGGTAATCAAGAGTTGATGAGTGAGCATAGAGAAGAATGAGCCATGGAGGAGCTGAGCCACAAGAAGAGGAGGATGAACTCCCATGTACCAAGAGCACTACAATGCTCTCTTCTCCATGGACTTTGTGGAACCAAGTACCCTGATGACACAATGAAGGCCCTTGGAATCTTTGATGATGTGGAGTTAGTCCTCAAGAACATGCACTTGGAGGTTCTTCTCTCATCGCATGGAATCCTACAAGGAGCTCACTTGTGAGTTCCTAGCTTCAATGAGGTACCACATGTATGATGAGCTCGATAGAGCTGATTTGGATCAAGGATTGGGGATGGATCACATTCTTGGCTAATGGAGTCAAGAGGATGGTCACCTTTAGGCAGTTGGAGATCTTGTTTGGCTTCAACTATGGAGAGGGACCAATTGTGGAACTTCAAGGAAAGTGAACTCCAGAGGGTTTGGGCTACAATCGCTGATGGAGTGTACTCTTCCTCAAGGTCCAAGGCTGCTCAAATCAGGAGCCCAGTGCTGAGGTATGTGCACAAGGCACTTGCCAACACCTTCTTTGCAAGGAAGGCAACCGGGACCATTAACGAGGGGGAACTCAAGTTTCTTGACATGGGGATCAAGCCCATCTCTCACGCACAAGCGATGGCAAGAGGATCAGGGGAGATAGATCAACACTGGAAACTTGATGCCTTTCCTTGATACCTCCTCACCTACAAGACCACAGCCTACAACACTCGATCAACAAGGAAGAAACGCCTAAGTGTTGGAGGGCTCATCACACCTATCTTGTGTGCTGCTGGAGTGAACCCAACTGATAGAAGGCCACTGAACCAGGTTGGATGGACATCAAGTTTTGCAAGACCAACCTCCTCATTGAGCACAAGGAGTTGATGGGAGGTTCCAATTCAAGTTCACACATCCATTGGTTGGACCCTCCAAGTTTCTCCTGCCCAACCCAGAGCTCACCACAGTGTAGGTGAGAACATTGACTTCAGACCCCCTGTACACATTAGTTGGGCATGAGATGATTTGCGAGAAGAGGAGCCTGACTCGATCGAATGAGGGTCGAGCTGAGGATCGAGCCCAGGGATGCGGATTTGGGTGAGCCTGAGTGCTACTATTTTGAGGAGTATGAGGCTCCAAGATGAACCCCTCTGTTGTGGCTGCTCACAAGAGGATTGGACTTCTCCAAAAGTTCAACAATGGCAAGGGAAAGCCATTGAGAAGATGCAAAAGTCCATGGACAAGATGGTGAGCAAGATCAAGAGTTTGGAGAAGAAGGTTTCTGGTTCTTCATCCAAGAAGAAGAAGACACCCATGGCTTCACATTCCCTAGGAGTAGATCCTCTCACCACTCCAAGGAGACTCCCTGCCCAAGAGCCTCACAGAGCCTCATCATTTCGAGCCAAGGAGAAGGAGACAACACGCAGAGAAGGAGGAAGAGTTCCAAGGCCGACGCTCCAACTCGACCAGGACTCGATCGAGTCCAAACAGAGGAAACTCAACTCGGTCGAGCTGACGGTCGAGTTGACCTTGAGGAGCCATTCGAGAACCCTGGGTTTGAGTACGACCAGCAGTTACCAGGACTCCCAGAGCAGATGGAACCCTATGGCCAGTTCGAGCGAGCCAAGCTCCACCAAGGCCAAGGGAGCCACACACACTTCGAGGAAGAAGAAGAGGAGCCGCAAGCTCGATCGAGCGCAGAGTGGTCGATGGAGTGCCCTGATGGCCGCCTGCCCTCTCCAGACCACGACCTTGCTCCCAGTTCTTTGGGGGGCACTGAGGTATCCAAACACAACCCTTGTACATACCATTTCATATTTTCTTGCATTTCTTTTTTTTTCTTGGTTTTGCCCTCTTGAATCTTTCACTAAATTTCTCTCACACAAGGGACTGTGTGATTTAAGTTTGGGGGAGGGTTCAAGAGATGATTTAACCTTGTTTTCTTTGTTCTTAGTTTTTCATTATCTTTTGCATAGAAAAACCAAAAAAATCATAAAATTTTCAAAAAATCCAAAAATATTTTCATCTTTTTGCATTCATATTTGTTAGACTTGTTTAGGATTGCATTTTTCACTTGCATTGTTGATTTGATCTTGAAAACTTGTTCATCATTTGCGATTTCTTGAGTGCCCAATTTCTAGATTCTTTTGTGCATTAGGGTGAGATTGATTGAGCACAAGAACCATGTTTATCTTGATCATATCACTGCATGCACATCTCATTCAACCATTGCTGTGATTTGATGCATTTCCCTATCAATTTGAACCATAACTTGATCTTTAATTACCAATGCTTGCATTTGATTTCAACTCATGGCTACCACATACATATCTGGACATTCTTTACCTATTTCATATCCCTTTGCTTGTCCAGATAGCTGATCTCCATCTTTGAGACAGTTACCACACCTTAAACCTAAGCCTTTTCATTTCAAACCCCATATTATCTCTTGTGCGAATGTGAGAACCTTTCTTGGCTTTGCTTAGCATAAGGTGTTGTGTTTAAACCGGCAGGGCAGTAGTTCTAGTTGTCTAGTTCTCTTGGGATTGTTTTCAGGCTAAGTTTGGGGGTGCCAACTCGAGCTCGATCGAGTTGGGTGTAAAAACCAGAAAAGTGGTAAAAGTTGGGAAAAACCCAAAGAAAAAGAGTTTAGTTAAGTCCAGGGAGTTGGCAGTGTTTAAAAAGGGTCTAGTAAAGGTTTGGGAAGTTAAAAAAAAAGTAAAAAGGGTTCTAAGTAGAAGAAAAGAAGGCAAAGCCTCAAGTGTCAAAAGAAAGAAAAAGTTCCCTAAGTGTTTAGAAAATCCCAAACCGCTAGATGTTACCTCAAGAAGCCTCTCCCTAGGTTGTTCTTAAAAGAAAAGTGAGCAAAGCTCCTCAGTTTCAAAGGCGAAATGCCAAAAAGGGTAGTTAGGATTTTGTTCTAAAAAGCTCTAAGTGTTGAACTCGATCGAGTTAGGATTAGGCGGCTCGAGCTGCTGCTCTTGCATCATCTTTGGTTCTAACACTTAGCCTTCTGCCAAAGCAAAGCCACTTTCTTGAGAGATCCCTGTTACTAAACCACCATACAAAAGAGACCCTCTTTGTCTCTTAACCCATAAACCCTTGAAACCAAATGAGTTGATTGATCTTGCATGTTTTTGGTTCACTGTTTTTGCTTAATAAATGTTAAAGGGATTTGCTGATTTGAATGCATTGTTTGAGTGACTGTGAAGTGGGATTGATGTTGATAAGCATGGTTAACATCTTAATGAATATCTCTCACCTTGTTGCATTCTAGAATCTCTAAGTTCAAGTTTGGGGGTGTTGATGTACTTGCATTTTACATAGTTTTAGCACATCTTTTATGCATCTTTTGCATAGTTTTAGCATCCATTAGCATCATATCTTGTTCCTTTTCTCTTCTTATGCATTCATAGTAGTTTTAGGTTGCATTTGCATACATGTGCATGTTTGGTCCTTGAAATAGGTCTTTTGGAGCATTTGGAGCATTGGGACGTGAGGAGCAAGGAAGGACTTGGTGCATGGACGCAGCTCAACTGGACACGCAAAGGAAGAAGGAGGAAGCCATCTTGAAGTCAGCTCGACCACCTACTCGACCGGCCAAGCTTCAACTCGATCGAGCTGGAGTCAAAGTCAAACCCGAAAAATGTTGCTTCCCCCTTGACTCCCTTTGACCCTAAACCTAATCTCCTTTGTATTTAAAGGCTCTAAGCCACGAAAAAGACACAATCTTTAGCTTATTTTTGTTTTAGCTTTTCTTTAATTATTGTATTTACTTTTTGCAACCTTAAGCCATCTTTGTGTTCTTGAGCTCTTGCTCTTGAACCTTAGATCTAGGCTATTTCTTTGTATTTGCACTTGCTTATTTCAATAAAAGTTTTTAGTTTCATCTCCTCTTTCATTTAATGTCTTTTCATTGCATTTGATTGTGTTTACATTCATGTGTAGTGAGTAGTTACCTTTAGGGTCAAGATGGGCTAGATTAGGGATTCTTATGCTTAATCTCTTTGCTTATGTTCTTAATCTAGAAATCTCTCTCTTTTGGACAAACCTTAAGGCTACATGACCACTACCCCTGGCTTGTATGAGTCTAGGCGATTTCCACATGGAAGTGATGGAAATCGCTTGAAAAGGTCCACTAAGAGCTCCAATACCTTGCTCTGAAATGGAGTTCATAGGTGTTGGATGGATTAGTTTGAGCAATGATCCTATGCCTCCAAGGCTTGATTCTCACTGGCTAACCCCCTGTTTCTGAGATCTTGCCTTGGATGATAGCTTTCACCTTGGGAAAGGGCTAGCTAGGCATTGAGAAGCTCAATATCAAGAGATACCTTGATACAAGTTGTTTAAGAGCAATATTGATTAAGTATAGTCTTCCCCTAGTTGTAAACTGATGATAGGATTTTGTGGATGTGAATGATATGAAATGAGGTGGAATGCAAACAGGGGTGAATAAGATGAATGGTATGGTGCAATCACAATCAATCAATTCCTCTTAACCATCATAGTCATTGAAGTATAAGAGGTTATCAATCCAAAATGGGAAACTTGTCACTCTTTGAGAATATGAAACAACCGAAAGTCAAGCAAGCAGTTAATAGATTTGAAGTAACACTAACAACCTAAAAAATGAAAAGCAGTGCAATAAAAGTAAACAAAGCAGTGAAGTGTCAGCTCGACCAAGAGCTCGAGTCGAGTCAGAGCAAAGTACCAGCTCGATCGAGTTTAGGGACGAGTTGAGACAAACAAAGCTAAAGGTGACGACTTTAACAAGATAAAGAGAGAATTAGGGTTCAAGACAGGGTTTTGCAATCAAAGGAATCTACACTTAATCAATCTAGCTCTTAAAACTCCTTGTATCAAGGCTTCTCTTGATATTGGGCTTCTCAATGCCTAGCCAACCCTTTCCCAAGGTGGAGGCTATCAACCAAGGAATGATCTCAGAAACAGGGGGTTAGCCAGTGAGAATCAAACCTTGGAGGCTATAGGATCATTGCCCAAACTAATCCATCCAACCCCTTAGACCTCTATTGTCTAGAGCAAGAGATATTGGAGCTCTTAGTGGATCTTTTCCAGCGAATGCCATCACTTTCGTGTGGGGAGTCGCCTAAGGACTTACAAGCCAGGGGTAGTGGTCATGTAGCCTTAAGATCTATCCAAAAGAGAGAGAATCTAGATTAAGACCATAAGCTAGAAGGATTAAGCATATGAAACCTCTAATCTATCCCATCTCAAACCCCAATGGGTAACTACTCACTACACATGAATGTAAACACAAGCAAATGCAATAAAAGAGACATCATAAGAAAGAGGAGATGAAATTAAACAACTTTTATTGAAATAAGCAAGTGCAAATACAAGAGAGATTATCCAGGATCTAGGATTCAAGAAGCAAGAGCTTCAAGAACACAAAGATGGGATTAGATCTCTAAAAAGTAAAAGTACAATAAATTAAAAGAAACTAAAACAAAATAATCTAAAGCTTGGTGGTTTTTTCGTGGCTTAGAGCCTTTAAATACAAAGAGGATTAGGTTTAGGGTCAAAGGAAGTCAAGGGGGAAGCAACATTTTTCGGGTTTGACTTTGACTTCCAGCTCGATCGAGTTGAAGCTTGGCCGGTCGAGTTGAGGAACTCGACCGGTTGGTCGAGTGGACGGTCGAGCTGGTCTTCAAGATGGCTTCTCCCTTCTTCCTTTGCGTATCCAGTTGAGCTGCTTCCATGTGCCAAGTCCCTCCATGCTCCTTATGTCCCATATGCTCCAGAATGCTCCAAAAGACCTATTTCAAAGGACCAAACATGCATATGTATGCAAATGCAACCTAAAACTAACATGAATGCATAAGAAGAGAAAAGGAACAAGATATGATGCAAATGGAAGCTAAAACTATGCAAAAGATGCATAAAAGATGTGCTAAAACTATGTAAAATGCAAGTACATCAACACCCCCAAACTTGAACTTTGCTTGCCCTCAAGCAAACAAATAGAACAAGAAAGAGATGAGGTTTGAAAATAGCTGATTCAACACTTAAAAACATGTCCTCAAAAGCGATTTGCTAAATGTCCAACTTAGAGATTCTAGAATGCAACAAGGTGAGAGATATTCATTAAGATTTAACCATGCTTATCAACATCAATCCCACTTCACAGTCACTCAAACAATGCATTCAAATCAGCAAATCCCTTTAACATTCATTAAGCAAAAACAGTGAACCAAAAACATGCAAGATCAATCAACTCATTTGGTTTCAAGGGTTTATGGGTTAAGAGACAAAGAGGGTCTCTTTTGTATGGTGGTTTAGTAACAGGGATCTCTCAAGAAAGTGGCTTTGCTTTGGCAGAAGGCTAAGTGTTAGAACCAAAGATGATGCAAGAACAGCAGCTCGAGCCGCCTAATCCTAACTCGATCGAGTTCAACACTTAGAGCTTTTTAGAACAAAATCCTAACTACCCTTTTTGGCATTTCGCCTTTGAAACTGAGGAGCTTTGCTCACTTTTCTTTTAAGAACTTCCTAGGGAGAGGCTTCTTGAGGTAACATCTAGCGGTTTGGGATTTTCTAAACACTTAGGGAACTTTTCTTCCTTTTTGGACACTTGAGGCTTTGCCTTCTTTTCATTCTACTTAGAACCCTTTTTACTTTCCTTTTTTAACTTCCCAAACCTTTACTAGACCCTTTTAAACACTGCCAACTCCCTGGACTTAACCAAACTCTTTTTCCTTTGGGTTTTTCCCAACTTTTACCACTTTTCTGGTTTTTACACCCAACTCGATCGAGCTCGAGTTGGCACCCCCAAACTTAGCCTGAAAACAATCCCAAGAGAACTAGACAACTAGAACTACTGCCCCTGCCGGTTTAAACACAACACCTTATGCTAAGCAAAGCCAAGAAAGGTTCTCACATTCGCACAAGAGATAATATGGGGTTTGAAATGAAAAGGCTTAGGTTTAAGGTGTGGTAACTGTCTCAAAGATAGAGATCAGCTATCTGGACAAGCAAAAGGGATATGAAAATAGGTAAAGAATGTCCAGATATGTATGTGGTAGCCATGAGTTGAAATCAAATGCAAGCATTGGTAATTAAAGATCAAGTTATGGTTCAAATAGATAGGGAAATGCATCAAATCACAGCAATGGTTGAATGAGATGTGCATGCAGTGATATGATCAAGATAAACATGGTTCTTGCTGCTCAATCAATCTCACCCTAATGCACAAAAGAATCTAAAAACAGGGCACTCAAGAAATCGCAAAAGATGGACAAGTTTTCAAAGTCAAATCAACAATGCAAGTGAAAAATGCAATCCTAAACAAGTCTAACAAATATGAATGCAAAAAGATGAAAATATTTTTGGATTTTTTGAAAATTTTATGATTTTTTTGGTTTTTCTATGCAAAAGATAAATGAAAAACTAAGAACAAAGAAAACAAGGTTAAATCATCTCTTGAACCCTCCCCCAAACTTAAATCACACAGTCCCTTGTGTGAGAAAAATTTAGTGAAAGATTCAAGAGGGCAAAACCAAGAAAAAACAAGAACAAATGCAAGAAAATATGAAATGGTATATACAAGGGTTGGTGTTTGGATACCTCAGTGTCCCCCAAAGAACTGGGAGACTAGGTCGTGGTCTGGAGATGGAGACGGCCATCAGGAGCACTCCATGCAACTGGGGTTGCCTCTTGCGGCTCACTCGATCGAGCTTGTGGCTCCTCTTCCTCCTCTTCTTCATCTTGAAAGTGTGTGGCTTCCTTGGCCTTGGTGGAGCTGGCTTGCTCGAACTGTGTAGGGGTTCCATCTCTGGGAGAAGTCCTGGTAAGGCGTTGGATCGTACTCAAATCCGGATCTCAAACAGGGGCTCCTCCAGGTCAAGCTCGACCGTCAGCTCGATCGAGTTGAGTTTCCTCTGTTTGGACTCGATCGAGTCCGGTGGTCGAGCTGGAGCGTCTGGCCTTGGAAGTCTTCCTCCTTCTCTGCGTGTTGTCTTCTCCTTCCCTTGGCTCGAAAGAAGAGGCTCTGTGAGGCTCTTGGGCAGGGAGCCTCCTTGGAGTGGTGAAGGAGATCTACTCCTAGGAATGTGGGGGCCTTGGACTTCTTCTTCTTGCTTGAAGAACCAGAAACCTTCTTCTCCAAACTTTTGATCTTGCTCACCATCTTGTCCATGGACTTTTGCATCTTCTCAATGGCTTTCCCTTGCCATTTGTTGAACTTTTGGAGAAGTCCAATCCTCTTGTGGCAGCCACAACAGAGGGGTTCATCCTTGGAGCCTCATACTCCTCAAAGTAATAGCACTCAGGCTCACCCAAATCCGCACTTCCTGGCTGATCTTCAGCTGAGACTCAGCTCGATCCTCAGCTCGACTCAGCTCGATCGAGCTCAGGCTCCTCTTCTCGCAAATCATCCTCATGCCCAACTAATGTGTACACAGGGGGTCTGAAGTCAATGTTCTCACCCCTTACTACTGTGGTGAGCTCTGGGTTAGGCAGGAGAAGCTTGGAGGTCCAACCAATGGATGTGTGAACTTGAATTGGAATCTCCCATCCAACTCCTTGTGCTCAATGAGAAGGTTGGTCTTGCAAAACTTGATGTCCATCCAACCTGGTTCAGTGGCTCTCTATCAGTTGGGTTCACTCCAGCAGCACACAAGATAGGTGTGATGAGCCCTCCAACACTTAAGCCTCTTCCTCGTTGATGCCTAGTGTTGTAAGCTGTGATCTTGTAGGTGGAGATGCTCAAGGAGAGGCATCAAGTTCCCTGTGTCAGATCTATCTCCCCTGATCCTCTTGCCATCGCTTGTGCGTGAGAGAATGGGCTTGATTCCCATGTCAAGAAAGCTTGAGTTCCCCCTCGTTGATTGTCCGGTGGCCTTCCTTGCAAAGAAGGTGTTGGCAAGTGCCTTGTGCACATACCTCAAGCACTGGGCTCCTGATCTGAGCAGCCTTGGACCTTGAGGAAGAGTACCTCCATCAGCGATTGTAGCCCAAACCTTTGGAGTTCTTTTCCTTGAAGTTCCACTTGGTTACCTTCTCCATAGTTGAACCCAAACAAGTATCCAAGCTGCCTAAAGGTCACCATTCTCTTCTCTCCCTTAGCCAAGAACGTGATCCATCCCAATCCTTGGTCCAAATCAGCTCTATCCTCATCATACATGTGTACCTCATTGAAGCCAAAGAACTCACAAGTGAGCTCCTTGTAGATTCCATGTGAGAGAAGAACTTCCCCAAGTGCATGTTCTTGAGACCAACTCCACATCCTCAAAGATTCCAAGGGCCTTCATGTGTCAACATGTGGGTACTTGGTCTCCATGAAGTCCATGGAGAAGAGAGCATTGTAGTGCTCTTGGTACATGGGGAGTTCTTCTCCTCCTCTTGCTCTTGTGGCTCAAGCCTCCTCCATGGTTCATCTTGGTTCCCTCTTGTCATCTTCATCAACCAATTGGTTCACCTCTTCTCCTTCCTCTTCACTCTCAGTCTCATCACTCCTTCTTCATTTGGAGACCATTTCCCTCCTCTTGAACAAGGTTCACTCCAATCTCAAACTCCCCTTGCTCACTCTCACTACTAATAGGGTCATTCCTCTTCTTGGTTCTCCTTTCTTCCCTCAATCTCTCACTCTCAGACTGTCTCCTCAGAGTAGACATATCCTCTGCATCAGATTCTTCCATCCTCTGATCCATCCTCTCCAAATCGGCTTGCATCTTAAGCCTTCTTTCCCTTGCATTGCTTGATTCACCCTCAACCATTCTCCTCTGTGAAGCGCGACTTCCCTCACTGTTTGTCATCCTTGTTACACTGTTTCTTCACTAAAGTACCTGAAATGCATCAAAGATTACAAAGAATTAGAGTTGTAATGATCGGTTTGGTCAACTCGACACTCAGCTCGATCGAGTCAAAAAACTCGAGTGACAAACTCGATCGAGTTGGGTGAAAACAGAGTATAACCAAACCTAATTCAAGTATTAAGAGCTGGAAAGGATGCTAATCAATCAAATTGAACCAAGAACAACTAGTAAATGGAACAATGAGCAATTCTAGTGAACTAAGCATCTTAACCAATACCAAACTCAAATTCAATTTTCAAGCACATGCAACAAGTTTAAGGCAAAACAGAGGTGAGGTGACAAATTAACAAGATTATACAGCAGAGGCAATTACTCAAGAACAAGTCCACAAGGGACACATGCAATCAAAAATCAAAGGAAACAAGCAATATGAAATCGAGATGGATGAATCAAGGGTTTTAGGGTTCATACCTTGCTTGATGATGAATTGAAGAGCAGTAAACAGAACTAAGCAAAAACAAGAAAGAGAAATCGCAAAAACTTAAGAGAAAAGAGAAAATTCGATTTCTTGTGGTGTGAGAGAGAGAGAGAGATGTTTCAGAAATTTTAAGTGTGGGAGAGAGAAGTGGATTCGATCGAGTTATGGGGAAGAGGGTGTTTGAGATGTGTGGTTGAGATTAAAAGATGAAATAAAGAGGGAACAAGAAGCTAGGGATTCTCTGATCAAATTAGGGTAGTGGGGGACCAAAATCAGCTTGTGGGACCCACTCCCTTGACCAAGAAAACGGTTATGAATTTGAAATTCAAAAACTTACCTCGGTCGAGTTGTGTAGCTCGATCGAGTTGCCCTGGTTTCTAGCTCGATCGAGCTATCGGTCGAGCTGGCTCCTTGACACCTAAACTTAACTTATTCAAAGGTTAAAAACATAAAGATAGATAGAAATTGCATAAATAGAGTATGTACAAGGATAAACATGGGACTTCCTCCCAAGTGAGCTTGT